GGTTATGGACTCTCAATAAGTATAAGTTAAAAAACTTTTATTTGACGGATAAAAATATTCATTAGACATATGTACATCAAATTATCAGATATTTTATAGAGATTTTAATAATGTGTATACATTTTGTGTAATTTTTTTTGGGTTCCTTACCAAGATTTTTAATAACGGTACGTGAAGTTCCAGCAATTTGCCTTAAAGCACTATGCCATGCATCCCACTATTTAATTTTAACTTTGAACATGATTCCATAGTTATGAAAATCAAAATGGACCTTTGTGCCCCGCCCTATGCGCATCCTACAATTGTCAAACCATTATTAAAAGTGAATGAAGTACAATCATCATGTTGGAAATATTATTATTACCCGCAGATTGAATTTCATAATCGATATTCATATTTATTTTACCTTTCTGCACATTGTCTAAGAAGTTTCAGTTCTAGTAAATAAAACATCCATTCCCGCATTATTTCCCAGACCCACCAGGAAGTGAAACGTGTAATTTAATAAAATTTCTTTAAATGCATTTTATCGAGTATTTCAAAAGATGAAAAGTAAAAAATTTCGCAACTGTCTGTGCATGATTCCAGTATTATTTCACTTTTTGGAATTTCTTCTTTAACCGTTGTTTAGCATGCCAAAGTAAGTTGCAATAGAAAATGTCATATGCAAATAAGCATTGTGGCATCTTTGAGGAGACGGTAACGGATTTGCAACGTTTGAAGATCGATTTGCTCCGGGCTAAATATTGTGCAAGAAATCGAAAGAGAATCGCTATAGTTAAGAAGATTGACGATAATTTTAATAGAGGAAACTGTACGCAATCGATATCCACCTATTTAAGTTTCAGGTCAAAAACTAACCAACTTCGAAATGATATCTTTCAAATAATTCTTTAATTTACAAAGTCGGTTCAAACTTTTTTACGATGTGACCAACAACAAATACAGATAGTAAATAGTCATAACCATTGCTGAAGATTTGCTCTTCATTTCATCATTGATTATTACAATAGTACATAATTAAAGTTCAATTATTTGCCTTTATTGTAGTAATGGCAAAGTTCATTTAGCACAAGGGAGAATGGAAGTTATTACAATATAATCAAAGTGTCGATTAATATCAACATGTCAATAACTTATTGTTCTCTGATTCCTACTGATCAGTCTTAATATCTTTTCATCACCCTGCTGATGGTGGTACTTTGTGAGCAAAATAATAAAATAATAGATACTTTTATTTTTAAGAATGAATGTTAATGATATTAATACCTTGGTTCCCAACCTCTGGGGCATGCACCCTCAGATGTGGGCACATCTGTTACCAAAATGCTATTATCACCAAAAATCAACAAAAACATTGAAACTATATAAAAAGTTTAAATTTATTTTAATTACAATCTGTCACACTTAGGACATACAGTTTGTTGTTTGATTTGACCTTTCTTATTATATGAATCTTAAATGGATGGCAACCCAGTAGTTGTCTAGTCCAGTTATGACTAATTATCTGTACTCGTATTTGCTGACATTTTTATTATATATGCAACTATACCCACGAGAGGCAATTTTTACTTGAGGCAATATTTGAGATCTATAACCTGAAGCGGAAATTTGACATCAAAGTTGCCTGATGTCGACTTGGCGGTAGCGGGAATCGAACCAGCGAACCCGGGACTAGTTGGTGCTAGCCCCTAAATAAAAAAAACATAACATTGCATACTCATTTGTAGTCTGATAATAGGAGTTATGAATTTATTGAAAGAAATTATTAAGAAAATTGAGGGGTGAGCAATATTTTTTTATTAGAACGGGGGAAACAAGTTGAAATAGTAGCAAATAGTAGCAAATAATAGATGAATAGTACTTTCGACACATATATTTTAGACATCAATATCATATATTATTTCATAGTTTTATAATAATTTTGCCGTGAAATTTAAAAGACATTCCTCAATATATGTATTATTTGAAAGAAAACGGAACAATAAAATATGTACCTATTAATTGGGCTAATAGGTACAAGTTAAGTGGTGTAAGTTTTGTGATATCTCAAAAAAATATTCTGATATGGACATCTTATATTTAAAGACATAAATTGTAATAGTAATTTCTAACCTATTGGCATTTATATTGCAAAAATTGAGTAGTCTATAATTTATTGAAAAATTGGATCTGATATCGTCTGAGAATAATCTGAACTTGAAATTTGAATATTTATTATGCAAGTAGTTTTTTGCACTACTGTTAAATATATTAGCTTGATTGATAATAGTAAATCTTAAAACGCTTTTTAATAGTTGAGTATGTATTAAAATCTGTGCGATAGGAAATTGAAAATAAAGTTGAATGTCAAGATTATTTAAATTCTATTCGTCACGTACAGACGGTCATACCTGTTTTTCTCATATTTAAAAATGAGACAAAATCATATTTTTCGTGACAAATTTGAAAAAAATAACACTTTATCTGTGAAGGTGTTCAGAATGCACATATTTTCAATTCAAGTAAATTATACAAATAAACAATTGGTTTTAAAAATAATATTATGATAATAAACAATGTAGTTTTATAGATGAATTTTAACATATTAGTATGGTGACCATACGTCCCGGATTTCCATCTTGTGTCCCGGGTTTTCATAAAAGCAATATTTGTCCCAGATTTCATTCTTTTGTCCCAGATTGTCCCGAATTTTAAAAAAATATAGGTATAAACTAAATTTTCGAAATTACAAGATAGTTAATGTCAAATTACAAAAATCCATCAAATATCTCAAAATGATGTAAACAACGAGTATGCTTATATGAAGAATAGGTTAAGAAATGGGAATATTTTCGAATGCAAAATACCAAAGTGTTAAAATAGAATCTCACATTGATAATTTCGGACTTCTATTTTCAATTTTACGAAAATTAGCAATTTTTGTCTTCCATTTTCAATTTTTGGAAAATTAGCTATCCCCCCGACCCGTATTAAGGCAACTACCAAGTTGCCGTCCCGATTTTGATCAAAAGAAATATGGTCAAATTTAATATTAGGCAAAAAGTATCAAGAATAATTACTGTGAGCTCAATTAACACCAGCCAATATAATTTGTTCGCCAATAAAAAGATGATATTGTATTTTGTCGGGAAATTGCACAAAAACTACACGTGAGCGTGCAAGTAAAAACAAATAAATTTTCAAAACAGGAATTGCTGGTCCCCGGATGTCGAATCCGCATAGGTAATTGTGTTTCGAGCACACAATATACAATTGTTTATCATTGTCGCGTTTGTATTGCGATTATTAGAACCGATGATTCTAAATTGAGCTTATTATAGGGGACCTCAGGTTCATTCAACCGAAACTGAATATATAATTTACATAGGCTTTACTAGGTAATTATTAAATACACAGACAGTACCTTCATGCATTCAATGTTTCAATTAAACTAGAAAATGCGAGGTAAACTAATAACAAAGAAAAATTCATTAATTTCTCATCTTTTAAAAAATAGACTTTCTAATCAATAGTAAAAAAGGTGGCATGGTGATTGAAGCTGTAGACTTCGAATCAATGGTTCCAGGTTTCATACAAGCCACGGACAACCTGATGTCAAAAGCAGAAGCATCGGTTTTCACTTGAAAGTATAGATGGCAACACATTGCCAAATAAATATAATCCTTTTACGACATTGCTGCATAATTAAAACTAGTTGGTATTAGTGTTTTGCCTTGAGGCAAGTTACATAAACTTCTCCGTATGTGTAAATAATCGACATAATCAATAAAAAATAAATTAATTTTTAAGTGATTAAATCCGATTGGATTTATTACACATAATTGAAAATGAACGAACTCCGTCAACTCGGAGTATTTTCTAAAAGCAAATTTTCACGAATCAATATTTTTTTTAATTAGACCACTTTCCGTAGAACTTTAGTGGTTTAGTATGTTCATTAAGACCAAGTACTCTATCATTATACCAAGTAAATCGCCTATTTTAATTCTAACAAACGTAAAGAAAACTACTTATTTTCTCAAACTTTAATAATTTTTTAAAATTAATCTACTTGTCGTAAGGCCGTAATATTTCAGTAAGTTTTATAAGACCATGATATATATCGCCAAAAAAATTCCATAAAAGTCGGCTTAACTTTTTTTTCAACAGTTAATTACAAGCTAATTAATTGCTGTTAACCATATAAAAAACCAATATTATAATTTATTTATTTTTTAATAAAATGTAAGTGAGTAGCTAGAACGACTGGACCTGAATCGATCTCCCATCGAGAAGCTTGAAGTCAAGCAGTAATGAAATCCGTTTTTCCTTAGAATATATATATTATCAAGTCAAAATATTCCTGATTCGACACTGCTGCATCAACAAATTATCTCCCATTTACTAGAATTTGCAATTACAATTTATCACATAGGTATCGGACAACAGTTTGGGTTGCCATCTATAAAACCGACTTGTATTAAGTCAAATCAGTACAAAAGCTTATAGAACACAAATTCTGATTGCTGTTCAAAATAATATAAATAAATATTTAATAAAATGTAATTATCTTAGAACCGGCACATGCAACATTATATAATAAAATCATTTTACCATAAATGTTCAATGTGTTCTGTCTCTTACGATTGTTTGAAATTGCATAAGAATTAACTGGAACTGCAAAAGTCACAAGCCTATAATACATGCTGGTAATAAATGTTTAAGAATAAAGGATGCGAAACGACATCTGACCAATAATGTCAGAACAAGAGTTCTTGTAACCCGTTTCCGTGAAGATGCACGCAAATGCTTCTTAGCACAAGGTTAAAAGCATATAATTTTATTTCGACATATTTAACTGGATATTTATCTTTCTTGGAATCGCACGGGGATTTAAATTTTAGCGTTTACAAGATAATAATGGTATTTGCATATTCTAATATAATCTCTACATATAATGGAAGGGATGACTTTACTGATACAAATATCTGATAGTTCATCTTTTATTTTAATAAAATTACCACTTACCTCTGTCTATTTTTGCAGAAGGAAAAACATCAACCGAAACCTTAGATGAAGAAACTGTTATTGTTCCACTTGAAGCACAACGTGAAGGTAACAGTGAGCCAAACACCCACATAATTATTGGAGGATTTGGACCCCCATTAAACTTTGGCGCTCCACTTGTTGGAGGATTTGGACCACAAGTAAGTGATAATAAATATACCTGAAAAGGTAGAAGGATAATGTTGAATAATGATTTTGAAATTCAAATTTAAGAAACTAATTAAATAAAATATTGCAATAATTTGTGGCAACATTTCTGTCAATTGAAACTAATTTACTCAGGGCTGGTAGCAAGAACTTCCCTTTAAATTATTCGTTTTTAAATGCATATATAAATATTAGGTTGGTCCTTAACATGGACATTTTTGAATTTCCTTGCTCCCAAGGGTTCCAAATTGATAAAAAACAATTCTCTCAAAGTTTTAGCTCTTAATATTAACTTTTAGATAGTGCGCAATTCAATCAAAGTTTTGTATGGAAATAGCATGAAAAAATTTTCAAAAATTTTAAAAAATTTCTTGGATATAATTTAGCGAACAAATGAATGAGTTTTATACCTAAAAATTTTTTTTTTAATTTCCAAAATTTTTTCCATGCTATTTCCATACGAAGTTTGATTGAATTGCGCACTATCTAAAAGTTAATATCAAAAGCTAAAACTTTCAGAGAATTGTTTTTTATCAATTTGGAACCATTTGAGCCCTTGGGAGCAAGAAAATTCCAAAACGTCCACACTAAGAACCACCCTAATAATTATATAAAAAACCAACTCGATCTTTTAAAGTTAGTAAAGTTAAACATTAATTTATCTTAACATTTGGAGCACCTACACCTACTTATAAATATTAATATACTTATAAACAACCATTTTTATGTGTTGTGTACAATATCTACAACTCAATCTTAATTCAAACAAGAAAATGCGAATATAATCATATTTTTCTATTAGTTATACTCAAAACATTGTTTTATCAACATTGAAAATTACTCTTTTTAGTATACTTCAAACATAATTTTTTTTATGATTTTTTTAATTCAGGTGAATTGATTTAAGATGTTTTGGCTTTGCAGACATAAAATATTTTGCTATCTTAATTATATTCCCAATTTAAATACAAAGCAGAACCAACAAACAGATATATTCAGATAATTTCAGTTGCAAGAAAATTGCTTTTCAAGAACAGTATATGATTGATGGAAAACATTTGATAAAGGCTGATCTATTTTGGATCATCTGTATTCAAATGAAAGCGAAATTGGTACTTTATATACATCGTATTATCTGCGAGTATCCGTAGTTATCTGTATAAGAAGTTTTGAATAAGCACCTTATTACAATTGCATCTTAATTCTTTCCACTCGCGAATTCCGAGATTTGTATGAATTTTGCCGCGGGCATCCGAATGGAAAGGGTTATACGTAAGTGTGAGTGTTCAATGAAAATTTGTTCCAGCACTTGCCCATTAATTTATTATTACTGTCTATACTACTCGTACTTTTTTAGTAATTTTTTTTCTTTTAGTTTGGAGAAATATCTCCTTTCGTCGGAATACCACCTCATGAGCCACCATTCTTAGCCGGTGTACCTCAGCCAGCACCATCAGTATTTGCTGGTCTAAATCCCTTTGGAAATGGGGGCGGATTCCTGGGAGGGTTGGAATCAGGATTAGCACTCATGCGACGTCAGTTGTCGACAATACTCAACCATGTTCCTGGTGTTGGAAATCCAGCTCAGGGTGATGGTAATACGACATCGTCAACGAAGGTAAGGAGACCTATTATATATAGTTTAGTCCTAAAATTTTACTTGTCAAATTGTAAATGATTCAAGTTACTTTTCCTAATATTTGCTTCTCACTATATAGTAGCGTGCACATAAGGGGCCATAAAAATTCAGGAATTGACCGATTAAATATAAATATTTTCGGATTAAATCATTTTAGATTAATTTTGGTAAATATTAAACTCAAACTTCATAAAGTTTGTTTGTACTAAATGGGCTGATCTCTTTTTACTCTTATTTGCTTGCTTGGCTCCTCCGTAGATTAGTTGCTTACTTAGTTTGAATCAGAGATACAAGATTCGATACCCTTTTGGCAGCCTAATGTCAAGCAGTAGTGACATCGGTTTGCATTTGGAAATATAGATAGCAACATGAACGAATCAATAAAAAACTAGTAGCGCATGGCATCGTCCCTTAATGCAAATTGCTGGAACTTCCTGTACTAAAAATTAAAATTTTTGATATATAGAAATCATTAATTTGTATCGTTTTCCAGGTTATTGATGGTCATCGTATCACAATAAACGAAACCGTATATAGCAATGGTTATGATGGATCCGTATTCAAAGTACGAGTAGTTGACGTTCATCCAGAGAAACCTGACCATAAGCCATCTGAAGAGGAAGATGGTGCAGAAGTCACCACAACCAATCCTAAATTGCAGACCGAGAAAATGGGCAAAATCGACAGCGTCGAGGTTACTACTGAAACTGAAAGAACTGAAACTATCAATGGTATGAGAAATTTTGTAATTAGGACAACATAGCATAATGCATTTTTTATTAGAACAATCATGAATGTCAAATCACAATCAACATAATAAAAAGAAAGAGCATTGTGTCTATTAATCATCCATTAATAGTTTACTCGTCTGGTGACAATTTCAATAAAATGTAGAAATAATAATTATCATTAATATAAAATGATCATCAGAAGAAGTGGCAACCTTCAGGGTGGGTGCGGAGTTCAGATCATATGCACTTTCAAAGTTGAGGTTAAATTGAGTCTAATTCCAAAAATGCATGCAATTTGTTAGAAGTAAAAAATAGCGGTTTTTTAGAATAATTTCTGCTTTTTATTTCGTTATATTCGATTAATTTATCATGAGTAAATAATTCCTTTATCATTGCAGATAGTGGTATTGAATTGTCAGAAAATAGTGCTACAGAAATATCAACCAAAGAAAATACTAGTGAATCTGGTGAAAAACTGAGCAATGACATCAACGAAAAAAGCGAAGAGGTTAGCGGAAAACCAGACAAATTAACAATGCCTTGAATTCTAAATATATCAGAATAATTCAAAGCATCCCTAATATTATCTGCATGAGTTTAAAACGAATTATAACAGATAACCAGGATATGAAATAGTAGAAGAAATTCGATTTTTCAACTACAAATTACATTCGTAAACTTAGTCAAATATTAATATAAATACTTGCTAATATTTTTGAAATTCTACATAGATAAATATTAAATGTCAATTCGATCCAAAATTATATAGAACAATTTGACTTCAATAGTTTTAAAATTCAATTTACAACGTTTTCTAAAATGATCCATTAATGGTGCTGAAATTTTCTGAATCAACTTCAATATGTTGAAAAATCAAAATTTCTTCTTATCGACTATATTTTCCGAAAATTAACAAATTCATCATAATAAATTCGTTATACTAAATAATAATCTTATTAAAACTTATTGCTATACATTAGGTAAAGAAATGCTTTTTTAAACATTAAAACCAAAATGATATTTGGTTAATTATTGTCATATCATATAAAATTTGCATTAATCATCGGACAGCCTTATTAAATTTTTTATGGGTCTCTAATTATTTTTGCATGATTATTAATTAGCAGGATGATTGATTAAGCATGATCGAAGAATTTATTTCTTGATATAAATCAATTATATAAAAATATATATTAAATAAAAAAATAACAACAATTTTTAAAAAGTACACTATAAATCAAAAGTTTAAATGTCATATTTTTTTATTTTTGTAATTAATTGCAATTGAATTTTAGAGATCCCAGTGTTTATAATTGCAATTATTTATAAGCGTGATGTAATTAAAAATATAATTCAAAAGTGAAATAAAATTAATACGTTACTATTACTATTAAATTATTAAGTTAAAATATATTAATAGCAAGAAATATTACTTATTATGTAACAGAGACCTGATCATAATTTGGCAAAAAAGTACAAAACTGGTTAAAAACCCATTTAATGAGTATTTCTATGGACGAAATTTGGTATGTGGTTTAAACTTCCAACTAATATGCTATACATCGAAAATGCATGTATTAAAACTTAATATATTATTATTTTTGATTAGGTCTACTTTATAATTATAACTATATTATAATATTTATCTACGTATATTAAAATCGCATGTAAAAATATTTTTAATATATATTTTAAACAAAATATTTAAGTTTTTCATATATTGCATGCGCCTTTGGAAATGGTTTGCTTGCGTGCACGAAATGATAAATGCATATAATATTTATTGAAATGATAAGTGCATGATTTATTATTTTATTTAGTTATAATTTACATATTTTCAAATGTCTACTCGTTATTTTATATGAAATCTTATAAAGATATAAAAAAAAATCACAATTTTTCAGCACTTTTGCACTGTCCAAGAACATTTTAAGATCAAATTTATTTTTGCCATAGTTTCTTTAAAAGTTTGTAGATTCAGGGACCGATTCTGTCGCATAACAGACAAATGTTATGACAAGGCCATGTTACGCTCCAACTTCCATACATTATGCAACTGAAACATACTGAATACTATCAAAATGTCATGTATTTGCTGTGCATTCAGACGTTTTACACATAAACTGCAACGTCATTCGTATGTTATGAACCTGAGTCAGAAAGACCCTGTTATCTAACATCGTTTTTTTTTGACATTTGTGCAGTTTCTAGGTTAGGTTCTGAGAAAAACGCCTGACTGCACAGCAAACACGTTGCTTTTGACAATATTTAGAACAAATTTGTATAAAAAGTTCTTCATAACATAGCCTTGCTATAACATTGGTTTATTATGCGGCAAAATCGGTCCATTATTGTGAGAATTTTAATTACACAACTGTACAATTTTTGTAGTTTTATATAGATTTGTATTTAATTCCAAGAAAAAAATTAAAATTTTAAATCACTAGCAATTGCTTGTAGTACGAATTTAATACCCACGTAGGCATAATTTTGTATAATTTTTGTTTTTCTGCACATTAAAACTAACAGACAGAAATGTGGTATGTGAAGGTTTCAGGAAATAATGCAAGCGAAGACTTCCAAGAAAATGTTTCGGATGACAAGAGCGAAAATTTTGACAGGAGCACCGAAAGGTAATACTAATTAAAATAATTAAAATTAACCAAAATCAATCATGAATAAAAAAATTAATATCGATACGTTTTTATTAACCAACTCGACCATCGTCATTGCTAAGGAAATATTTAGGAACAATTTAGGATTTATTTGCAACTAAGGAATAAAAATGTTCATTGAGCTATAATCTCTTTCTGAACTTCAGAATTTATTATCCGTTCCTTATTTTTCTGCATCATGAACAGTTTTTACACTTAACCCTTTCGCTTAACATTTTCCGCAAGGAAAGACACTGCTGTACGTGCCATCGAACAGCCCAGTAACGCTACTGAAAGGTTCGAACATATTTTAAGATTGTCCAATTATTATTATTAACTAGTAGTGTATGGCATCGTGCCTTGAGGCAAATTGCTGGAACTTCCCATACCTTAATGAAATTAATAATAATTCGATTTCATTATTCTTATTTCATAAACTTTCATTATTCTTATTTTATAAAAATTAAATAAACAAAACTTAATCGGATTTCAAATGAAGAATCATATCAGATATTTATAAGTATTCAAAAAAATTTATTTGAGAATTAAAAAAAAATGAGTTAAAAAAATTCTTACTCCAGTAACAACCGTTTCGTTAACACAAGTAGAAAGTTTTTTAAATCATTCAAATCTGATGCTTAGTTCTCTCAAAAACTGCTATTTTTTGCACCTTTAGCCATATATATCTTCAAAACGGCTAGACCTAGACCTTTGCCAAAATCTGATTGCACCACTTCTCCCCATCATTACGAATCGAATGTTTTTTGGATCACTCAAATCGGTTGATCCGTTCTCTTAAAAACTGACATTTTTAACACTTTTTGCTCCATATCTCCGAAGTCGCTTAACCTGTCATCAAAAACTAAGCAGCACGTCTCTTCATCAATACGAATCAAATGTTTTTTGAACCATTATTGGTTCATCAGTACGCCCGAAATCGTGGACGAAAAATGGTCTCCACACATACACACACGCACACACATGCACACACATCCATTTTTCTGAGGTATGCCAAAATGTTCAGAAACCTCTGAAACGTGAAGATATGCAAAAAAATTCATTTTCGATTTTTGGTCTATTATGGGAAGTTAAAAATGTATTTGAAAATTAAGAATTGCACATCTAAAAACTAAAAATTGCAATGAAAATTTAGAATTCTTAATAATTTAGGTTATTCAAGTAGTATGCTCATCTAATATACAACGTACATCTTTACTATTTTGCCATATCGTAAAGCATCATCTACTAAGGGGGCGACCATTAATCACGTGAGCGAGTTTTTAAGAATTTTTGGACCTAGCGCTCCCCTTTGGTGATACCTGGTGATATTCAAAATTTTTCCCCCTCCCCCAACAAACATCACGTGTATTTTTAATTAGGTGAAAAAACTGTAACTTTTTTTTTAATGTTTCTTCAAAAAATAAATATACGTGATATCTTACTATACCCCTCCCTCCCCCACGTGATATTTCGTGATCTTTCGTCAAACCCCTTCTCCTCCTAAAAAAAGTTGGTAATTCGACATTAAAATTAACAAATTATTTACAATACCTACAACTAACCAATATCTTGCATCTTCAAAAAATACAGATTCATTTTTTAGCAATTACTTGCAATAGTTTATTATATTTCCCCATTTTTCCTTCAGCCTTGATGTGTCTCAATCTCAACCCATACAACCAGCCTATCCAGAAGAAGTTTATGACTACGGCCAAGAAATCCTCTCAGTGCCTTCTCCAGATGAATGGAATAATGCCAACTACCAATATGAAGATTTACTGGATACAAATGAAATTCAACATGCAGATAATGATTTATCTAACGATATTGCCATTAATGATATCGCAGCAGCCGCTGGTGTCACAGCTGATCCACAATCGGAGTTGATAGATGTTTTTCAAGGAGATAAATTTGCTGATGAAATTGCTGAAGTGGAAACAAACGAGAGGAAGTTTAGGAGTCTTAATTTGAAACCAATAAAATAAAGAGGTTTTTAAGTATTAAAGTTCGAACAAAACACATAATTGTGATTGGGCAACTGACTTTATCTTGATTTGACTGATTTTTGTAAATAACTGATGACAACATCATACTTTGCTCAGAGGAGGATAGAAGTTGATTAAGTGCTTATCTTCTTTTAACGGATTTTCCCTGATTTCCCTGACTTTTCTTTTAAAAAGAAAATAGTTTAATTCTGATGTGTATCAATTGAACCACGTTTTGGTATGATTTTTACTATATTTATTCACTTATAAAAAATCAAAAACTTCTTGAGTTGAATAAGCGAAATTGAATAATTATTACTGAAGTGTATCAATTGAGCCAGGTTTTGGTATGATCTTTTCTATATTTATTTATTTATAAAAAATCAAAAACTTCAGAACTTGAATAAGCAAATCATGCTCCTGATTAATTTTGTTTCACAAACTACTATATCACCAATAATTTAAAAAAGAAAAAAAAACATTACAAAAAATGTTTTGTTGAATTATATTTTAATTTGGATCATAGATAACCTTATTCATTCACAACAAATTTAAAATTCAGCATTTTAAGATTTATATACGATCTTTGGTCTACTACCTAATTCTCACAAGTCAGTCTAATTCAGGATGAGATGGAATAAAATAAAATTATTTTTGTGCCAATTATATATATATATATATATATAATATATTTATATAAATTAGGGTAGTTCTTAATATTGGTATTTTCGAATTTCTTTGCTCCCAAGGGCTCAAATGCTTCCAAATTAATAAAATAAAATTATCTAAGACTTTTAGCTCTCAATAATAATATTTAGATAATCCGCAATTCAATTAAAAGTTTCTTATATTTATTATTAACATATGTCATTAACTAAGTTCTAGTGCCATCTGTGATAGCATTTGTAAACTTAAATGTTATGGCACTTAAAAATATTTATAAAACACTTAACCTCTAATTAAATCCATGTGGACAGTTTAACGAAATATTTATTCATCATGGCATCAAAATATTTATTTAATTGGTGATTTTGACACTCAAATTATCAGCAATAAATTGCCATCAAAATTACAAGTCTGCTATCACAGATGGCGCAAGAATTTACTTAATGATATATGTTAAAAAATATAATATACGAAACTTTTAATTGGATTTCGGACTATCTAAATGTTAATATCAAGAACTAAAACTTTTAGAGAATTTTTTTTATTAATTTGGAAGCATTTAAGCCCTTGGGAGCAAAGAAATTCGAAAATGTCCATATTAAGGACCACCCTAATATGAGTTTGTATGTGTGTGTACCAAGTTTGGAGAAGTAATTCTAGGGAATTAGAAGACCCTTTTATAACCTAAGTAATATAGTTGAATAGGAATATATAAGATTCATTATTTTTTATTTATATTTAAAAGTTCAATTGAATATTTATTTTAGTACGAGTGTTTTGTGTGATTTGTGATAAATGTTATTCTTACTTTAAGATGAATAGATATATAGACATATAGAAGTATTTAGAGATTGTTCTTTTAATTCTTTTTTCTTATATTTAATTCTCTGTTATAAACTCGCAAAAAGTGAAAATATCTTTCATAACTTCGATAACTTTTTTTTGAATTCAGAACTGATATTATAAAGTACTAAATAAAGTATTGATAAATTTAATTATCTACTACAATATATAAAGCAATCAAGTGATTATATTTTTTCCATTGAAATCCAAAAACGTTCTAAGAAACACGTATTTGGGTTACCATACTTTCTAAATTAATCTTAGAATTTATAATCGTTTGAAATTCGTTGAATAGTTCTCAATTCACAAAATTCACTAAACTACACTAAAATATTTTAGTTTGCCTAATAAAATATATGGAAAAAATATTTTATCGCTAATACCAGACAAGATTTTTTTCTCATTTTAAAGATCTAATGACGAAGACGCCGTATAATTTTATTATAAAATTTAATTTTAATTATGAAAAAAGAATTTTTAATATTTGCTAACTTTCTTAATTTTTAATTTACCAAAGATAGACTGAAAAAAGTTTTAAAACATAACGATTTAATTGTTATAGCTATAAGTATGGGTGCTATTTTATAAGAATGTATTTATTATCAGTATATAAATTTTCAATAAATTATGCTTAAAGCATGAAGTTATTTTTTTCTTTGAACAACAATGAAGCATAAATATTAACTGTTATGAAGCAATTACTGAAACTCGACAGCAACCCACTGGTTGTCTATTTTCTATCTAATAAAATTATTATTACATTAAAGTAATTATCAATAGGTTTAAAGAAAATTTTGTACTAATACTGACGTGATATATAAACATATGAAAAATTAGAAATCTACGACAAGCGATGTAATTATGAAGATAAAAAAATAATTGATATCTTATTAAGTCGTATTTACACCTGTTGAGAAGCTCATACAACTTGCCTCAAGGCAAATTGGCACTTACACCTAGTTTTGAATTGAATTCGTCCAACTTTTTGAACTTCAACCAAAATGTATTTACAGATTATTTAAGGATTTTTGTTAAAGTATTATTGATTTATTAAAGTACAGGGGTCCCCAACCTTTTCACAAAACCCCTTACGTTTTTTGCGGCAAACAAATAATGGGATACCTCCTTAATTTTTCTAACAATCTAATTTTATAAATACTCAACAATATTATAATTTATTTATCGTGCTATAAATTAATATAAATTTGTCAAAATATTTGTAAAAAGAAAGAATTATATTTATTCATTAATTATTTATATTTATAAGTTGAATATAATTCCAACATTTGGTTATTTTTAACTTCCCATAAGTTTAGTTATAGTAATCGCAAAAAAATCGAAAATGAAAATTTTTATATATCTTTACGTTTCAAAGGTTTCTGAACATTCTGGCATACCTTAAAAAAATTGATGTATGTGTGTGTGCGTGCGTGTGCGCGGATATAAATTTTCGTCGACGATTTCGGGAAGAGGGATCAACCGATGTCAATAATTCAAAAAACGTTCAATTCGCATTGATAAAGAGACCCGCTGATTAGTTTTTGGCAAAGACAGGTCTAGCCGTTCCGAAGATAGGGGGCAAAAAGTGCCAAAAACGGTACCTCAGTTTTTAAGAGATCGGAGCGTCCGATTTTATAATTCAATAAACATTTGTACTGACAAGATGAACAACTGATTAAATTTTTGGAAAAGCAGGTCTAGTGGTTTCGGAAATCTAGTAAAAAAAAATATAAAAAGTGCCATTTGGCGGTCAAACATGATCATTAAACATATGCACATCAAATTATCAGATATTTTATAGAGATTTTAACAATAAGTATAAACATTCCTATGGGTTCCGTACCAATGCTTATCCGTTAGACGGCGGCGCGGCGCTTACGCGCTTTGAAATTTGGTCTCTATGCAGTTAAAGCAGTACGATTGCTTTCAAAAAAAGTTCAGAAATTTCCAAAATATTTCAAAATACAATTTTCTTCAGTCTTTTTTTTTTAAAAAAGTAAATTTTTCAAAAATTTATAGTTTCTCAAAAATCTAATTTTTCATAGTAAATTTTTTCAAAAATGTTAATCTTTAATAAAAAAAAAATGGTACAAATGCCATGCGCCCCACTAGTTTTTTCAAAGTTTAAAAAAAAATTTTTTTGGTACGGGAAGTTCTAACAATTTTGCCTTGAAGCATGATGCCATACACCACTAGTTTAAAAAATATTATTTTGAAAACAGCCGAACGCTCCCCTGGGGTCGTGACCAAAGACCTCATAATACATTTATGGTCGCGACCCACAGGTTGGAAGTCACAGGGTTAATATTATTTTCCCTTTGCTTTCATGGTATAGATAGACATTTTAGTAAAATACATAGAAAATGAACGCGCCCTATTGAAGCGAAATGATTACTTTTAGGAAGCATCTTTGTAAACACAAATAATTCATGGTATTATATAAAAATATAAAGTATAACAAAAATGCATATAAACAATAATATTTAAACTTTGGCATATTAATTATTATAACTAATACTATTTGATAACTACTATGGTAACAATGAAGGGTATATGATGTAACACTAACAAGAACCAAACAATACCATTGCCTGTTCACAAAAACGACGAATTTCAATAGTTTTTCTATTACACTAATGATACAAAAATAATTATTAAACATTTTGTTTCAACAAAAAACATACATATTTAATTAGAAATAGTAGAATAACTTACCGTTGCTGTATTGCAACTGAACCAAACTATCAAAACAAGTGCTAATCACAATCACAAACTCACTACTGCACTCATCAATTTGTCACAGAACACTCAAGTTATAATATAATCATAAAATGAATAAAAAATTTTTTCTGATTGTTACCAACATATGCTACTGAATTTAAAATTATTCAAATGTTGAACAATTACTTAATGAAAAATGTGTTGTGCTCAAAAACTTCAACAATATACTAACCAAAATAAAATAAAAATTCATTTTCTATTGCAAGCTCTCACTCCACATCATACCTAAGATTATTAGTAATACCAGTAATACAACCTAGACAATTATTTCATATTTCTTGAATGAATAAAACATCATATTAACACTCGGATTGATTATTTATTTCAAGAATAACATTTAAAATTAAAATGAACATGGGAATGCAACACAAAGTTAACTAGGTAATTCCAAAATGATTTGTAGAGCGTAACTTCAAACCATAAATATTAGATAAGTTTGTAGTTAAACACATTTTATGAAGATGAGATAAAATCTATACACTTTATTATTACTAAACAGGTATAAAAAATGTCATGACTTATGGTAACACATGTGAAGTATTTTTAACAAAAATTTCAGTATACTAAACTGTATATATTAAGAAAATACTATAAGTCAATACCACATTACAAATATAAATTTAAGGTAAGATACAGCTCCAAACATTACTGGTGATAAACCAATAATATTAATTCCATTTATGAAATACTTTAACTAACAAGATTTACAT